TTTTATTTTGGAGAGTTTTTTACATCTATATTCCAGCTAGGTACAATTCTTTTTTTTTTTTTTCCTTTTTGTCTTTTTTACTGACCGGCAACGGGATCGCCACCCTCAGTGTTGCGCCCGCACCACGCTCAGCCAGTGAGTGGGAACCGGTCTCCACATGGGATCCGAACCCTCGGCGGGAGAGCCGCCGCACTCCCAAGCAGCGCACTCTCCAGTGCGCCACCGGGCCAGCCCTAGGTACAATTCTTAACCCCTTTACACAGGCAAAGCTGACTCAAAGCTGATGTAATATCTAGTAGCTTGATTTGGGTTATAGAAGTGGTATAATGTCAAAAGTCTGAATAATTCTAATAACCTAAAATGAAGAGGAACCAGAAGACAAAGCTGGTTTGCCTCTCCACCCTCAAGATAACAGTTCATCCTGGTTTCGTATTTCACTACTTAGGGCACTTTAGCTTTGTAAATAAGTGGAATTGTCATCAGGTTCATAACACAAGTTCTGAACCATTAAATGTTATTCAAACCAAAGCAAAACTTAGTAGAACTACTAAAATATAGAATGTTCCAGGTACCCTTTGAGCATGTATCTCAGGAGAATCTATTGGCTACTTGATGAAGTACAATGTTATACTCTTTAAAGACAGAATCCACTTACACCATACACTGATTAAATCATAAATGAAGTCTGTATCTGCAAAATATTTCCTGGAGGTTATATTAAAATAAGAAGAGAGCTGTCTTAGCCTGGGTTCCCAAGAAAGCAGAGCTCATATGCAACAATTGTATTGGCATAGTGGCCCCATGGAAGCAGGAGTGGAGGCAAAAGGGAATGGAGGCATGGAAGAAAAGGGAATCAGAATAAGGGGCATTGCTGAGCGGGCCACACTAAGGACCAACACACCTGAGGACTCAATTGTGCAAGACCGTCTTCTAAGGGGCCATATGAACCAGTGCATCTCAGCATAGTTCATCTATGAGTGGGAAAGAATTTATCTCCTGGCTTTCATCTCCCATTATCAGAAATGGGGTTGATGCCCATCCATTTCCATGTTATACATACCTGGCCACAGAGCAGGTCCCATGGGGTCTCATCTTAAGGAACAACTGCAGTCTCCCAGTGGGGAAAGTTGGTCTCCAATCCCACAGCTGGGCAGAGCCCACCTAGACTGGGTGGCAGACTAGGTGGTAAGTGGGGTGAAGCAAGAGGCCCTAGGCCCTAGGGAGAACCTGCAGTGATCTGATACAAGGGCTCCTGCAGTCAGAAAGTTCTTCCAATTATCTGGAGAAAGGGCATGGGCTCTCAAGTTCCAAAGGGAATCATGAAGCTCAACAAACAACCAAACCTATAATGCACTGTGTCATGAATCTGTCTGTGTTAGGACTCTTAATTTAATACAAACTTGTCATATAAATTGATTGTCCACTTGGTCACATTTTCTTGCAGCAGCTGAAAAAATTAAGTGCATATAAACTAATGATTGAATTATACTATGTCAATTCCTCTGATAGTTGGTTCATTTCAAGGACAAGTTTTATGCATATATAAATATCTATCTGAACATTTTGTAGAAGCCAATGGAAATTTTTAATTTTTTCATACAAAACTTCACTTGGTGCAAACATTTTTGAAAACAATGTTCATGAGAAGTGAAGTCAGATGAAGTTGTAATAAATACTCCCCTTCTTTCAGGACAGACCCATAACCATCATGAAATGAGGAGTATGATTATCTCAAGTTCCTGCACCTGAGGCTTCCCCCCAAGAAAATTGCCAGGTCTCAATCACCTCTTTACTACCTCTTCCCTGAGTCACCCATATTATAGCATTTCCTACAATGATAATGGGCATTAAATGATTGGGTAATAGAATCCTGGTGAGGACACAATGTGTGGCCTCAGAACCAGGGATTAAAAAATCGGGGATGGCCTAGAGATGACTATGGGAATAAAAGAGAGAAAGGTATTGATAAACGGTCTTCCAGCTGCAGAACCTATTCTTCCAATCAACAAAATCAAATGTGAAACTCCAATATGTAAGAGAGAAAGGAGAGAAAAGGCTCTAGTTGAACAGGTCTGCCCATTCATCCACCCCAAACTCCCCAACGCAAATCTGTCTCTAGGGATCCCTTAACCACATCAGAGTTCTGGAAACCTCCAATCTAGAAATTTTTGCACTTATAAGCCAAGTCTGGGGTGATGAGTGGGTTTATTTAAAGGGCCCGGAGAGAGCCACTAAGTATCCTTAACATCATCCACAGTGTACAGAGAGACAGGGCCTGGACTGAAGACTATGCGGCCTGTGACAAGAATGAGACACCTGAGACATGTGTTTTCTCTGCTGCCACTACTCCCACTTTATCCTCCGAAACCAAATTCACAAGTCTCTTTGATTTTTATGAGCCTGGTATTATATGTTCAATTTGTTTGTGCTATGTAGGTGGGTTAAGCAAGTTTGAACTAAACTATGTCTCTTCCTAGTTCCTCTAATTCAGGGGGCTTATGAACCAGGATCCAACCCATTTCATATGGAGAATGACCCAAGGAATTGGGAACATTTAGCCTATAGAAGACTTGAGATGGCATTCTAGCTCACACTCGAACTAGCTGCCAGGTGGAACAGGAAACCACGTTGTTCTCTATTGCTTCCAAAAGGCATAGCCAGGATTAATGAATGGAAACTACCCAGAAGTCAGTATCAGCTCAAAAAAAAAAGGAAAAATCAACTGTACAGGAGTTTCCCATCACTCGAGGTGTTCAAGCAAAGACTAAACTATCATCTGACAACAAGACGGTAAGAAGGCTAGAATTCCGATGCAAATGGCGTCTCAGGTCTGCTCCAGCCCCGGGTCGCATCATGGCCATCTCCTCAGGGGCCTGCTCCCTGCACTTGCACAGGTTTTAGGCTATCTCCGATGCTGTATCTTAGGTTCTCTACTAGGAAATATGTGAGATGAACCTCAATTAGATTTGACTTCTGGTGCCACTTACTTTGAATGTATAATTATTCCCTACAAAAGCAGAGGAGCCAGTAAAATAAAGTCTACCATCTGTCCCTCCGTCTTTTTTTTTAACAATCATCCTACTAGCTCCTGAGAAAACCTTCTCTGTGCTGCCATGAATCAGACAAGCTGATTTGAAATCATTACCAGAGAGAATGATGTGCCAGAATCAAAGAGCAACTCTAAAGTGAGAAAAAATATAGCAAATAAATTCAAGGATAGCTAGCCCAACACACTGGGGACATTATGTTACCATTGGTTCAACAGAATGATATTTGAAAACCACAGTAGTTATTAAGAGTCTCCATCACAAAATGAATCTCGATTTAATTGCCTCTGGTTGAGACTCTGCACATTGGTTGTTTGCCTGGGCATGAATTTATTTTGATGAAAATTAGACTTAATCAGCTTGGCTGAGTAATGATGCAGCCAAAAAACACAGCCAGCAGGCAGTTTGAGAGGCTTCTCCAAAAATTCACAGATTAGAGAACAGAACTTTGTAAAAAAAAGTGTTCTGCAAGGAATTCATCTCTCTCCTACATATCAGAACGCTTTTATTCAACACCATGGTCTTTCACCACAGAAAGGTATCCGGGGAATGAAAAGTACACTATGGACATACTGGTGCCTTAACATAGGCAGAGCAAGGGGGTTATATTTTGAAGTTCTGCTGTAAGATCTCAGCTACTTCTGCATGGGTGCCTCACGAGGCTTAAGAGCTAAGAAGATGGCTTATTGTGAATGTCTATCAAAAGTGGGTTAATTAGATTCTGACCACTCTAAATTACTGTGGATTACAAGCAAAACTAAAAATGTGCTGGTGCAAATTTTTCCTCCAAA